GCTGAGCTGCCAGGGCCCCTAATGAGTGGGGAGGGGCATGGGGGCAGCATTGTCTGGGGCGGGGGGTTGCCGGTGCCACCTCTAGGCAGGAGGGATCACCCTGAGCTCAGCAATGGGCTCCCTCTTGCCCCTCAGAGCCCTGTGGGTGGCCGAGGTGCCCCTGGCCTGGCAGAGACACCTGCCGGGGGCTGAGGCCCGGACGGCCTGACCTGAGGAGATGCTGCTTTCAGCCATGGCAGAGCCATGGGAATCGCAGGACAGTGGCTGTAAGTTGCTTCGTCGCTGCCCTCGCCCCCACCTCCTCCCCATGCCCACTGTCGCCCACTAGGCCTTTGGCTGCCCTACCCCCCACATGCCTCCTCCCAGACCAGGCAGCGTCTCTGCCGGCGCTGTCCATGCCCAAGACGGTGCCAGAGGAGGATGCAGCCAATGCCCGCTCTGTACACAGCTGCCAAGCAACCTCCCAGCACAGAGCTGGGTCCCTCTGAACCGGAGCCTCCCCTGTGCCCACGACGGGGGCAGGTGTGTTTGTGCCAACCTTCCTGCTGCACCGGTCAGACGTCCCCTGCACATGCCTCTTCCCAGCTGTTGCCTGGAGTCTTCCCTGGGCCACGGCCCTCTCTCGGTAGCGGTGAGAGCAGGGTTTGGGCCTGGTGCGAGGCAGAGGGACAGTGGGGGGCACACAAGCACTGTACTGGGGCATAGGGGCTGCATGGGCACCGAGGGGGGGTGAATGAATGGGGAGGGGGTTTCCCAGCCTGTCTTTCCACAGCAGCGACCTCGACAGGGGCGGCCACCACTCCCAGCACCATGCGTCACCGGAGCCCCCTGCCGGAGGTGAGGGAAGAGGAGACCCCGCTGACGAGCGCCCGCCGGCTCTGGGCCTTGCTCCGGGGGGGCATCCGGGCCACTACGGAGAAGGTATGTGGTAGGGGAAGGAAGGGGCAGCCTGAGGCCTAGTGTCCCTGCAGGCGCAGGAGAGGGCGGTGCTGAGCATGGCCTGACCGTGGTGGCTGCTGCTGCTCCCCAGCCAGGCCACGCTCACACCACCACGCCTGCCCGCTGGCGGCACATCCATCGGGATCTTTGCTCAGCTTGTTCTACTAGACGCAAACCCCGGCCTTCTCTGGAGCCCCGTGGAGCCGTGTCCGAGCAGCGTCTGAGCCCAGAAGTCTCTTGCCAGTGCCCCACACTTCCCTCTCCCCATGCAGCTTCTTGCCAAGCCAGGCTAGCTTTGCCCTGTCCCTCCCCACCTGGAGCCGGGACTGAACGTCCCCAAAGGCCATTCCTTGCAGGTTTCTCCTGCTGGCTCCTAAAGCCCCAAGCAGCAGGATGCGATCAGTGTCTGCTCTTCCGCAGCGGGCATGTGACAGGAGGTGCCTGAAACCATCTGATACCCCAACATCACCCGCAGCATTCAGGTGCTCCGGTGCCCTGTCAGTGTGTATCGCACTGCGACCACCCTCCCCAGGGAGCAGTCGGGCACCAGCCTGCGCCGATCCACTTGACTCGGGATGCAGCAGGACATGCTGGGACCTGCGGTCCCCAAGTGGCCCTGGGGAGCCTGGGGGCCAGCCCTGCCCTATGCCGGGTTACCCGCTGAGCAGCGCGATGAGGGCAGTGGGTCATGGCGCCGTGTGACTCCTCCTCCTCCTGTCAGATGAAGAAGGAAGAGCTGAAGGCTGCCCAGTTGACCCACGGCCTCCAGCACCTGCGTCACCTCAGCTTCCCGCAGCCCGTGCGCCACGTTGCCTACAACAGCAGCACCAGCCTCTTCGTGGTCCTGGACGCGGAGAGCCAGCTGCACCTGCACAAGGAGGACGGCTGGTTCAGCCACGGCACCCAGGCCCCGGAGCCCATCGCGGGCTTGCTGTATGCCACCCAGGTCAACAAGTACGTGGCCTGGGACCAGGGCAGCCTGCAGGTGCTGGGCCCAGCCTTCGAGGTCCTCTCCAAGGTGCTGGCCCCGCATGGCATCTGTTGCTGCCGCTACAGCCCAGAGCTCAATCAGGTGGTGACAGCTGGAGCGGGCAGCCTGTCCATCTGGGCCTTCCGCTATGGATTCTCCCAGCTGCAGTGCCAGGCCACCGTGCAGCAGGGCCTGTCCCCTCGCGACACCTTCACCCGGCTGGCCCTGGACACCTGCGTCCCCCAGAAATGCTTTGCTGCCTGCGGCACCGGGGTTGCTGTCTTCAACATCTCCCAGGGGGAGCTACTGACCTTCCAGAGGGACCTTCACAACAGGTGACAGCTGCTCTAGGGAGTGGGGCGCTGCCCGGCCAGCCCCGGGCGTCCCAGTGAAGAAAGGGGCCGGCATCCACCCTAGGGAACTTCATGCTCCTGGGCTGCTGCTCCATGGGGAGGGGACGGGCAGGAGGCGCTGGGTGGCTTCCGGGTTCCCCTCCCTTGCTAGCTGTGCCCGGCGTTGGCATGGGTGTGGACGGATGGGGCTGGCCAGTTCTGTGAGTCACCGCCAGGACTCCCCAGTGCATGCTGGGACCTCTGGTCTCTCTGAAGCTCACGTTCAGACGCTGCTCTCGTCTCTATGTTCGTAAAGTGAGACAGGCCCACGCGCTGCCAGGTCGAGGGCTGCGCTAGCAGCTGTGGGACCTTCTCTGAGCCCTCCCTGCCCATCCTGGGTGGTGGGGCAGGCGTTTCATAGACACTGCAGCTGAGAAAGCCCTGCCAGGCCCCCAGGTCTGTGCGCCCAGGCCCAGCCACCAGTGCAACTTGCCATGGGCCCCGGGGCTTGTGCAGTCACAGGGTGACCCTGGGAGGGGGTGGGGCGCCGGAGCCGGCAGGAGCGCTCATGGCTGCCTCTCTCCCAGGGCCATCACTGACATCGTCTATTGCGAGGCAGGGGCGTGCGTGGTGACGGCTTCCCGCGACACCACCATCAAGGTCTGGGACGAGAAGTGGCTGATCCAGACAATCTTCGTGGGACACACTGGTGAGCACCCTCCCCACTGGGGGTGCAGAGTGGGGCCCTGTCTGAAGCTGCTGGTCCCCGCCGCAGACCCCTGCCTTGCAGGGAGAGACTCTGCTGCCCTGGGGCTACACCTGACCCCTCGGCCTCCTGCCCAGACCTGGAGATGGGGAGGGGGCTGCCCTCACACGAGGCTTGCTCCCTGGCTCCCATGTGGCCCTCGACTGGGGACTCCTGTCTGGGAGCAAACCTGCCCCTCAGCCTGGCAGTGCCCCCCAGCGGGCAGCCTGGCATTTCTCTGACTCTGCCTTCCTTCCCTTCCTCTCTGGCAGGGCCTGTGACCGCTGTGACCATCTACCCCCAGGGACCCCTCATCCTCTCTGCCTCCCAGGACGGCACCATTCGCACCTGGAACCTGCAGACCATTGACCAGGTGGACGAAGTGCATGTGGCCGAGGTGGTGGAGCATCTGCAGACGCACCCAGAGGGCGGGTACGTGGTCTCGCTGACCGGCTCCACCGTGGACCTTTGGAAGGTCAACCAGCTCTACTCCCTGCACACCCGGCTGGGTGCCGCCGTGACGCGCCTCTGTACCATCGACCTGAGTGCCGTGGGCAGCTTTCCGGTGCGGGCTGTGTGCGCGTGCCAGGACTCCACCGTGCGGCTCGTGGCCGCGCACACCGGCCGCATCCTCTCCACCCTGCTGCTGGACAGGCCCTGCCAGGCCGTGGAGGTGGCCTACTGTCTGCCCAAGGAGACCCTGTTCGTGCTGCTGGAGCTGGGCCAGCTCCTGAGGGTGAACGCCGCGGTCAACCCCATGAGCGTCAAGAAGATGGTGGCGCCCTGGAGCGAGTCGGCACGGCCCTGCTGCCTGCTCGTCTACAGCCACATCGTGGACCCCAAGAAGGCCTATGCGCAATGGCGGGAGATCGTGGAGCAGAAAGGGGACAAGAAGTCCTGGGCACAGCTCCCGCTAAAGCTGCAGGACAAAAACAGGTAAGGATTAGACCCAGCACCGCTCCCCACCCCAGCCCCTCACAGATGGGGGCATTGCAGGGAGCAGGGCGGGGAGCTCTCAGCAGGGGGCGCTGTGGGGACCGGGGCAGGAGCACTGGCTGGGGCAGGGAGCTCCTGGTGACCCCAGCCCTGGTCTCTCCCAGCAGGGGGCGCTCCGGAGAGTGGGGCGGGAGCATTGGCTGGGTGGGCGCTCCAGCCCTGGTCTCTCCCAGCAGGGGGCGCTGCGGACAGCGGGGTGGGAGCATTGGCTGGGCGGGAGCTCCAGTCCCAGCCTCTCCCAGCAGGGGGTGCAGTGGGGGGTGGAGCAGGAGTGCTGGTTGGGGCAGCTCCCGGTGACTCCAGCCCCAGCCTGTCCGGTGGGTTCGCTGTTGTGGTGCTGTGGTAGTTTGTGGCTATGCCGCGGGTGATGTGCGTCGCCCGCAGGTACCTGCTAGTGCTGGGACAGGAGGACGGCTCGCTCTGCGTGCTCCGGTGGTTCACCGGGCGTGTTCAGTACCAGGTGGAGGCTCACGGCTCGGAGAGGGTGACCGCGCTGGCTGCCTATCCCCACGACACCTGGATCATCTCAGCCGGTGAGTGCGCTGAGCACTGGGCGGCAGGGCTTTCTGTGCACCCCCAGTGACTGCCGGCCTGGGGCAGGGATCCCCACGGAGACCTTGGAGGGCGGAGCCCTCCCTGTGCAGCGATGGCATGGACGGGGCCCCAGGGGGCAGGGGTCAGGTCCTCACGGGCTGGAGAAGTCCTGGCCACAGAGCTCACAAAACCCAGTCGCTAAAGAGGGAGGGAACCGCAGAGCAGAGGGGTCAGTAGAAGAGTCCATGGGCCTTGGGCGCGGCCTGGGAGGGTCTTCCCCCGTCGCCCATCCTGGGGGCGGGCAGGGCGTTCCCCCATCCCCAGAGGTCAGGACACTCCACCATTCCCCAGCCTCGGAGGGACCAGGTGTCCCCCGCATCCCGGGAGGAAGACAGATGTTTCCCCCATGACCCGGGGGGCAGGAGCTGAGGGATTGTCCCCCATTTCCATCCGTTTCGCGTGTTTCATCAAACTAATGAAAAGCTCTGTGACAATGGCACCTGAAAGGAGAAGTCTGGGTAGTTTGCAGCAAGGCCCCTGTGAGCCGACCGCCCCAGCCAGGCCACAGCCCATGCGGGTGGGGGCTGACGGGGGCCAGGGCCAGGGCCTGCTGCAGCCCAGCGTGGGGCCTGGTGGGAGAAGCCTGGCAGTGCCCCCCTGCCTGGCCCGCTGCAGGTGGTGATCGCACGGTGAAAGTCTGGCGCATCTTCCCCTACATTGACGAGTGCCTGACCCTGCTGCGGAGCTTCTCCTGCCAGCATCCGGTG